TATACAGTAAGTCTTCACTTAACATAGGTGATAGCTTCTTGGGAACTGCCACTTTAAGTGCAACAATGTATAACAACGAATTTTACCATAGGCTAAATCGAATAAAAAAGAGTTAAGTTCCTACTGCATTTCCTGTTCACAAAAACATTACCAAACTTCTAAATAAAGATCCAAAACACTTCTAATGTTAAACATTGAAATAAATGTGAGCTACACATACATTTAAGAAAGTTTAATAAAAACATGTAACATCATTATCGATCACCCAATTTTTGGTGGATCAGTGAGTGGCAGTGGTCCTATCATAGTGGTGGTGGGTTAAATCAAAAAATAAGTGTCAGTAAAATGAAAATTGTAAGGAGCACCTTTTGTCATCACAAAGTTCAAAATCAAACGATAATATATATGGTGGGCTCACTCAGTGCTTTTATCCCATAACATTTATTGTACATTTATGTGATTATCATATACTTTGGGGTTTTTATTTTACAATAATTTACATTCATTCATTTTCCAACCTGCTTACTCCAGTTCAGGGTTGCAGGTGGCAAAGCCCACCACAGTGGCACAGGACACAAGGCAGGAACCAGTCCTGGACAGGATGGCACTCTATTTCAGGACACGCTCACACACACACCCATCCCCCAAACACACTCACTCAGACTGGGACAACCAACCCGAAGTGTACATCTTTGGAATGTGAGAGGAAACTGAATACCCAGGGAAAACACACAGACATGAGAAGACCTTGGAAACTCCACACAAACAGTAACCCCCACCCCGAGAATTGGCTTTTTTTCCTCGTCAATGTTATAAAGAAACAATATTGATTGAACTGTTATTCAAGGACCTGCTCGCTTTCTATGTGTATTTAATAATATTTGTTTTTATATTCTGTTCATTTAAAAATCATCTAAACTACGCTTAGTTATCATTTTTATTGATGCTCAGATTGTTCCACCTTTGGTCAGACAAAGTCCCTGCAAGCTGTCTCAATAATATAAGACAGATGTTTGTATAAATTGCATGACAAAATGTTCCAGGTTTATCTTCCTCCCTCAAACCTGAAATCATCCACTTCTCTAAGGAATCAGATTCCTTTAAGTGGGAAATGGTACTTTGAGATCAGAATTTGGAGGATATCAGGTAACCAACTGAGTATTTTGAAAATCACTTAATAAAGGGAAAAATAAAATATTCCCACCTTTCTGTGTGACTTTAGGCAAAATATTTGGGACACTTTTCTCATCTGTTAAATGGGTTTGCATTTTTGTGATATTGTGAAATATATATTTGGTCTTCAATCCTCTTTCCTGGCATACAACTCTTAAAATCCTCAGAAACTCCAAAGTGATGTTTCTTTTTATGCTAATGATTGAATGATGGCTGGAATCCCTTAGGTAGCTTCAGGATGGGGGCTGGTCAGCTGAAAGACCAAGGAAGGATTAGAGGATTAGGACTTTCAGCCCCATTTCCCAACCTCCAGAGAGGTGAGAGGAGCTGAAGGTTAAGTTTATAACCAATGGCCGATGGTTTAATCAATCATGCCTATATAATGAAGTCTCCATAAAAACCTAAAAGGACAGAGTTTGTAGAGCTTCCAGATAGCTGGAGGGTGGCACTCTAGGGATGGCGTGGAAGCTCCTTGACTCTTCCCTTACATGTTGCCATATGCATTTCTTCATCTGTATCCTTTGTAATATACTTTGTAATGTCAACTGAAAAACGATGAGGTTCATAAATTAGGAAACGAGAGCTATATTTCTCATAACGTGTTGCAGCTCACAGGCCGGTGATCTTGCAGGCTGGGAAGCAATAGCCTCAGGCAGAAGCCAAGAGCATGTACTTACTGGGAATAGTATGGGAGCAGGAATTTATGATGAACCAGGTGGCCAAATAAAATATTTAATAAGGTATAGGAGGTGTCATGAATCTTTATGAAAGAAGAAGCATGTGTATGCACAATTGAGCTTCATGCCCCTTTATAGGTTGCAAAAATGGTGGCCCCTTTAGAGGTACAAAAAATGGTGGCATTAGCATGATCTAAGAGTGGAATTCTCAGCACTCTGATGTCAAAAGGTGAAGCAGAGGACACAAAAACCCTTTGTGCATCCTCCCTAGACTGGCCAGAACCACTCCCCTTATCAGGAAGGAATGTTGGTCAGTTATAGTGCTGAAACTGCAAAAAGTGAGGAGCCGCATGAGGCAGTTGATCAGCAGTGGAGCAAGTCTTTTAAGAAAGGCTGGTTCTGTTTAATCCTTAGGGAAGAAAGTCTAATAGTAGTTAACAAGGGAGAGGGTATAATGAAATGTGTCTGATTTCTTGTCCAGTCACGGCTGGGGACTCATTTGTAAGGTTTTTCTGGGGCCTTCTTGGCCAAGAAAGGGTCTGTTAAATCAGTGAATGAGTTTAGGATTTTATTTTAGTTCACAATAATAAACCAGCATATATAAGTTTCCCTGAATTCTGTGAGTCGCTCTAGTAAATTAGTCAAATCCAAAGAGCAGGTTGTGGGAATCCAGGCTTGAAGTGGGGGCAGTCTTGTGGGACTGAGCCCTCAACCTGTGATATCTAAGGCTGTATCTCCCGGATCATAATTAAATTAACTTAGAGGACATCCAGCTGGTGTCTGCTGCTTGGTGTGTGAGGAAAAAAAACCAACACATTTGGCCAGAGAAGTCTTCTGTGTTTACTGTTGTTGTTGACTGAGAAAATAGTATAAAGCACTTTCAGTTTTTGGGTCTTTTTCCACCGACTCACATTTAGAGTCATTTTGAAGATTAAATATGTGTACCATAGTGACTAATATACAGTGTTCACTCAACAAGCATGAGATAAAATTTAAAATTTTTATGAGAAACAAACTACTACAGAGTTTTGGGTATTTATGAATATTTTGATATTTTTGGCCTGCATTTTCCTTTATTTCTCATGAGAATAATGCCAAACTTTCAGATTACATTCAATCCTAATACATATAGACCTAAATAGGGCCCAAGTACCCTAAATATGTTCAATAAAAACCTCAGATAATATTTGTATTCTGCAGATGGTTATGTCATATTACATTTATTAATTTTATTTTAAATGTACTGATCATTCATAAATTACTAATGATTCTAATTTAGCATTAAAAACTTGCAAAAATCCTATCTCAAAAAATCCATTATTGCTACTACTAGTCTTGTTTATATGATTTGTTACACAGTACTTCTATGATTAATCATAGCGTATTTTAGGACACGTGTATAAAAATGTAATTCTGTGTTACTTATTCTATACTATGCATTTAAAAAAGTAATTCTGTGTTACTCATTTCTATTACTCAATAGAATAGAAAGCGCATTTATTTAAAATATTACAATGACTTTTGATCCTTCAGAAAAAACCTGAAAAAGAAACAAAAAGGGAAAAAATCCTATCCTTTCAGTAATTAAATAGAAAAAAGATGTTTAATCCTGTTGGAAGAGGAAACAAGAGCAATAGAATAATATTCTGGAAGCTGTGGAATCCTACAAAGAAACTACCATCAAATATTGTTCTCAAGGATTATGGTGCTGCTGTTGAATTAAAAATTTAGAGTTTAATTA